TTCCCTAGGTGGAACTGCATCGTGACCACCCACGGCCCCCCTCCCATGGCGGGACATTCCTCCTGTGTCATCAAAGACAAAATGATCGTCTTCGGGGGTTCGCTAGGATCTCGGCAAATGTGAGCCTGGGGGGAGGGTGTCTGACAAGTGCTCCTGCAAGCGAGGGGTGTGTGGTGGTGGTCCCGGGGTAGCTCGTAGCGGTTGGGAAGGAAATCTCCGCAGGGTTTTGGGGGTCTGCCTGCTGCCTCGGCACACCCTTCGCCTCGGCAAATCCCCTCGAGGCTCCAGCCCGTGAAAAACCCAATTCTGCCCTAAAACTCTGCCCTGAACCCGTGTTTCAAAGCCTAGAAGGCCTGGTTGTATCGTCCATGCTTCTTGTCTCACCCTTGCAGGAGCAATGACGTCTGGGTGCTGGATCTCGAGCAGTGGGCTTGGTCCAAGCCCAACATCTCTGGGCCCAGCCCTCACCCGCGAGGTGGCCAGTCTCAGGTGAGCTTTCGTTCTCTAGCTCAGCACCAACACACGCTGCCAAAGATAAACCAGACAGAGCTTCATTTCCAGCTTCCAGGCAGCTCTCAGCAGGTTGCCTGAAAGCTGGTGCCTGATTTCCAAGTTATCTCTGCAGCCTTTGCCCAACGGGCCCTTGTTTTCCCCCGCCATCTGTTCCATGAGGGCGCGCTTTTCATCTCCCTGACGCTCAGGCAGGTACTGTGCCGTGTCTTGCACATGACTCAGAACTCTAATGAGCATTTCTAGAAAACAAATTGCCGTTTTAACCCAGTGATCGTTCCCTGTGGCATTTAAGATCAATGAAGTGTTATCACAGGTTGGTTTGGCTCGGGGCCCTTTTGATTGCTCTGCTCTCCTGAGTCTCTCGGTTCGAGCAACCCTGGATTGTACTCGCTCAAAGCACAGGTCTGGCAGCGCCTGTTTTGTTGCCTGCCCGGGGCAGGGAGCTCGTGGGTGTCACCTGGCTTGGTGCAGGTGTCTCGGTGGCAGCTGGCCTCCCCGCCTTCCCTCCGTGGGCCCCAGGAGGACGGTCAGTGGTTCCCAGCGTGCGGTTCACCTCAGCAGAGCAGGGCACCCAGAAGGGTCGTGACGGAACGTGCCTTTCCATCCACTGGAAAAGGAGACTAAGGGACTGGCTCACCCACCAGCAGCATCTAACAAATATTGCTGCCAGCCCTCCCAGACAATCCTTCCTCCTCCTCCCGTGTTTGAAGAGGGGTGTCGAGGCCCCTGCGCTCTGGCTCAGCTTCAGGAAGGGCAATTGCTCTCCTCCGGAAGAGGGACTGGTTTGTGAGCCGTGTGGGACAAGGCAGCGGGGTGAACCCTGCATCCCGCTTTGCCTCAGGCCCAGCAGAACCGGCTCTCCATCCCAGCTCCACTCCTCATCCCAGAGCAGACAAGATTCCGTGGGGCTGGGAAGCCGTAACCTGGCTCTTGTCTGCACTCGGAGGCCTTGCCAAAAGCGCTGGGGACGGCTTCGCGTCCTTCCCGGTCTGAAACGCTGTTCTTTGTCCCCTCCAGATCGTAATAGACAACGAAACCATTTTAATCCTCGGTGGCTGTGGTGGTCCCAATGCAGTAAGTATCCTGGGGGGAGCGTGGGCATGAACTGCACATGTCTCGCTGTAACTGAGCCCCGAGTGCTGGACTGGGGAGAGCAGGGCCTCTGCACGTTACCCAGGTGGCATTTTATCCTGCAGATCTGGGCACCCACGCGGTAGACTCCCCAGAGAAGCTGTCTGGCTATTGCCAGAGCTGCTTTAATTAAGCAAGAAGCACCCCAGGCACTATCTGAGCAGCTCGCTGAGGTTAATTGAGCCTCGGAAGAATTAGCCCTGATTTTATACTGGGGTAGGAGATGGAGACAGAGGGATTTGTCCGTGGCTGTAGTAGGGTGTAGTCACTCCTGGGCGCTCAGATCTTGATCTGGGTCACCATTCCTCTGTGCAGCAGCAAAGCACTGCTCCTGCCTCTGATGGGATGATCTCAGCAGCAACCCGGGCTCCTAAATCTCAACCCGGGCTCCTAAATCTCAACCCGGGCTCCTAAATCTCAACCCGGGCTCCTCAAGCTGTCGCTCTTTCCTTCCCAGCTGTTCAAAGACGCCTGGTTACTGCACATGCACGCAAACCCCTGGACGTGGCAGCCGCTCAAGGTGGAGAACGAAGACCACGGAGCCCCGGAGCTGTGGTGCCATCCTGCCTGCAGGGTACGGACACAGCGGGGTCTCCGCTCCCTCCTCTTTATCCCTTGATCTTTGTGGCCTGCCCAGAATGCTCCGTACCCCTCTGGTTTCCCCCCAGTACAGCTGAACAGGTCACCCCACCGTGGGTAACCCCTTGTCTCCTCTCCTCCTCTTCCAGGTGGGACAGTGCGTGGTGGTCTTCAGCCAAGCTCCCAGCGGCAGAGCCCCGCTGAGCCCCAGCTTGAACTCCCGCCCCTCTCCCATCAGCGCCACGCCGCCCGCCCTGGTCCCCGAAACGCGGGAATACCGCTCCCAGTCTCCCGTCAGGAACACGGACGAAGCTCCCTGCGTCAACGGCCGCTGGGGCACCTTGCGCCCCCGAGTGCAGCGGCAAACCCCCTCGGGATCCCGGGAAGGCAGCCTCTCCCCGGCCAGAGGGGACAGTTCCCCTGTGCTTAACGGGGGCAGTTTGTCTCCTGGAGCCACGGCGGGACAGCCCCGTGCAGGTCGTGGCGCCCAGCACCCCCTCCGCCGCCGAGGGCTACGACCTCAAAGTGGGGCTCGCCCTGGCGCCGCGCCGGGGCTCGCTGCCCGAGCAGAAAGACCTGCGCTTGGGCTCCGTCGAGCTGAGCTGGGAGCAGAAACCGGCCGCCCTCCTCTGCCAGGCGGACGGGGCGGAGGGCAGGACGGTGGGCGCCAACGCCAGGCACCCCCCGGCGCAAACCAACGGCATCCACGCGCCGCCCCCC